GTAGCCCAGGCTGACTTCCATCTCACTGTAGCTCTCTTGCCTCAGCCTCCCAGTTTCCGGGATTACAGGCATGCACACTACCAGTCCTGGCTGTTCAGAGGTATTGCTAAGTGTTGCAAGTTTTTCAACCTCTCAGAAGATAAAACACTTTTTATCTTGGTTCTTCTGATAGCTTTTTTGTAAACCTTTGAAGTTTTTTGTGTCTACTCTGTCGGTTCTCAAATATGACGGCACACATAGCATATATTTAACTTTTATAAGAAACTTTTCTAAAGTCTGCATACTGTTTTACATTGTCAGACAGGTATTTGCAATTATTTCCCAGTGTGTGCTTTGTCTTTTCATCTTTTTAGTCTTTTATTTATTTTTGTGGCACCAGGACTCAAACCCGGGGGCTTGTGCATGCTAAGTGAGTCCTCTACTACTGAGCCACCTCCTTGGCCCTGAAAGTTTTAATTTTGATAAAGTACAACTAACCAAGTTTTTGCTGTGCAGATCTTAATTTTACTGTTGTATCTTTTTGGCAGTCTCTTAGCCAACTGTTTCTCATTTGCAAAGAAAATGCATCTTCCTATTTCCTATTATCTGGCTGCTCTTTAGCTTATGTATAGGTTAGGTTTCTCATGTAAGAGAAAACATAAAAACTTGTGTGTCTCAATTACTTTACTTACTATTATGGTAGCAAGGTGCACCAATTTTTCTACAAACAAATTTATCCTTCTTGTTAGCAGAATGGTACTCTGTGCTTCATAAGCACTCCATCTTTCCCATCCATTCATCTGTTCTTGGACATGCAGGCCACCTCCAGGAATTAGCTGTCATGCTCTACTGTAAACATGGCTGTGCAGGTAGTTCCGTAACATGGTGTCTGTAGTTTCCACACGAAGCTCCCTAGGTGGGGAATAGCTGGGTTCAGTGGAATTTCTAGTTGCAGTTATTTGTGAAATGTCCATGCTGGTTTCCATAGTAGTTGTACCAGGTTGCATTCCCACCAACAATAGAGAAGGCATCCTTTTTTCCTGCAGCCTTGCAAACATTATTTGATTTCTTGATGGTAGCCATTCTTTCTGCAGTAAGGTAGAATTTGAGTTTTTCTTTTCTTTTTTTTTTTTTTTAAAGCTATCACTTTTTTAAATTTTTATTTTTTAATGTATTTGGTTGTTACAGGGTCTCACTATGCAGCTTGGACTCCTGGTGATCCTCCTGCTTTCAGCCCCCTCAGCGCTGGGATCACAGGCATCTGCCGCTATGCCTAGACTCTGGCCTGCTCAGCCCGCCCTGGAGGCGGGGCCAGCTGGCATGCTGTGGGGATCAGAACTCAGTCCCTGTGCTTGCATAAGCTTGCGTAAGCAGGTGCTTTAATCTGCTGAGGGATCTTGCCAGCCCGTTGAGTATTGTTTTAATTTGCCTTCCTCTAATGGCCAGTGGTGTTACACATTTTTTCACGTATTTACTGGCTATCTGTACTTCCTCTAAGAAGTGCCTATTCTTTTTTTTTTTTTTTTTTAATTTTTTATGTATTTTAGTAGAAGGTCTACAAGGTCTCGTTATGTACATCAGACTCATAGTGATCCTCCTGTTTTTGACCTCCCAAGTGCTGGGATTATAGGCACGCACCACCACGCCCAGTCTCAATTGCTGTCTTAGTGTGCCCTTGGGATAGGCTGGCTTGGCATGCTGGAGATTGAACCCAGCTTACTGAGTCTGACTAAGCAGATGCTTTAGTCCGCAGAGCTATCTGGCCGGCCTGTGCCTACTAATTTCACTTGCCTACTTTTTAAAAAAACATTTTATTTATTCATTTTTTGTATTTAGGACAGGCTCTACAGGGTCTCTGCTCACTGTGTAGATTGGCCTTGTAACGATCCTCCTGTTTACAGCTTCACAAGTGCTGGGATTACAGGCACCCCCCCACCCCCCAGCCTCAGCCCAGTTTTGATCGCAGTCTCTTTGCACCCCAGGGGTGGGGCTGGTACGACAGGCCTGGACTGAACTCCTGGCCCCTGTATCTGCCTAAGCAGGTGCTTTAATCTGCTGAGCTATTTGGTTGACCCTATTTATTTACTGATACAGGGTCCTGCTATGCAGTTCAAACTCATAGTGATCCTCCTGTCTCAGCCTCCCGTAGTGCTAGGATTACAGGCCTGCACCACCACACCCTGTTCCTGGTTGGGGGCAGCACAGCATTTGCTATTGGGGATTGAACTTGGAACCTTGTGCTTGCCAGGCAGGTGCTTATACTGCCAAGCTATCTCCCCAGCCCCACTTGCCCATTTTTATTTGGATCTTTTTTTATTTTGGAGACACTTAATTTTCGAGTTCTTTACATTTCCTGGATATTAGTCCTCTGAGGTGTAGCTGACATTTTTTTTTTTTTTATTCTATAGATTGTCTCTTCATTCTGCCAGTTATTTCCTTTGCTCTGAAACTTTTTAATTTGATATAATCATTTGTTGATTTTTGATGTCATTTCTTATTCTATCAAGTTTATGTTCAGATGGTCCTTGACTATGCTTATGTCTTCAAGAGTTTTAAAACTATTTTATTTTCTGGCAGAGTAAATGTTTCTATGTTAATATTTAGACCTTTCATCCATTGCGATCTTAGGTCATCTGCGATGAGTGATACGGGGTGAAGCTTTAGTGTCCGAAAGCCTCTGTGAGGGTCTTCAGGGGTGCGGGGCAGTCTGCAGGTGGGCACTGGCTGTTGTTCTTCAACCACAAGTCAGTGCAAACAACAAAATACGTGGTGTTTGGTGGGTGTGCCAGGTGGTGTGCCACGCTGATGTAGCGTGGTGGGGCAGTGTGACATATGGCGGAAGAGTCTGCGTCGCCAAGCCCGGGCAGTATGCAGAATCCCTCTGACAGGAAGAGCCCTGAACTTCCTGTTGCATCTTAAGAACCATTTTCCCTAACTCAAAGTTGTGAAGGTTTTTCTCCTGTGTTTTCTTCTAGAAGTTTTACAGTTTCTGTTTATAGTTAGCCCTGTAACTAATTGGAGTTCATCTTAGTGTGGAGTTAGTTTCTAGTGCTTTTGATTTTGTACATGTGTATCTTTTAGTTGCAGTACCATTTGTTGATGATGTTCCTTTATTCTTTGTTGGAAGTTAGGCAACCTTATGCTATGCAGGCTTTTTTCTGCATGTTCTATTCCATTAACCTGTGTGTTTCTACATTGACCATACCACACTGCCTTGTGGCTTTATAGTCTTTTTAAAAATTTAAACTAATATTTTCCTGGGTGTGATGTCACAGTCCTGTAATCCCAGAACTAGAGAGGTTGAGACAGGAAGACTGCTATGAGTTTTGCGCCAAATTAGTTTTTTTTTTTTTTTTTTGTCTTTTGAGACAGGGTCCTGTTATGCAGTTCAGGCTGGCCTTAAACTCACTGTGTAGCCCAGGCTGGCCTCAAACTCAGCAAGCCTCCTGGCTTATCCTTCTGAGTGGTAGTGGGATTAAAGGTGTGCACCACCATGCCCAATTCCAAATTCATATCTTAATGGATGTATAAAAACAAAAAAGTTGCACACATTAATGGTGTTTTGCTGGATGCAGTTTGCATTGTGTAAATCGAGTTATACATACCTGCTCACACAGTTATTTCTCTGTAGTGGAAACATTTGAAATCTTTCTTGTAGCTTTTTGAAACTTGTGGATCTGTAGTCACTCCTGTGTAAACAAGCACCCACTGGAGCTTCTTGCTTCTGTCTCACTGTAACTTAGAACCCATAGTCAGACGCACCCACCTCTCTCTTCTCAACTTTCGTGAGATTAGCTTTTTAAAAATTTTCCATGTGTGCGTGAAATCGTATTGTAATTGTCTTGCATCTGGTTCATTTCAGTTCCTCCCATATGGTTGCGAATGAGAGGATTTTGTTTTTGTGTGTGGCTGAGCACTATTCCATTGTGTGTTTATTGTGCATCAGATTTCCTTTATCCATTCATCCGTTGGTGGCCCCTTCAGTGGATTCTAGTTCTTGGCTATAATGAACAGGATTTTTGCAGTGATGGCAGTTGAATGTAGGAACTTGAACACACCAGGAACATACTTGGAACCCCGCACCTCCACACCGGTCCTACCAACAGTACTCGAGGGTTCCCTTTTTGTAGTGCCTCTATCTTTGTGCTTTTGATTAGAGCCACTGTTAGCAGGTTGAGGTGACGTCTCATTCTGGTATTGATTTACATTTTTTTGATGATTGGTGTTCAGATTTTGTTTTTTCAAAGTACTGTGATTATTTTTGTATCTTCTTTTGAGAAATGTCTATTTTCAATGTATAGTCTAGCCACTAACCCCTTTTTACATAGTTCACAAATATTCTTTCCTATTATATAGATACAAGGGGTAGTCAAGACATATGGGTGTGTCTAAATGAAACTGTATTTCTGTAAGACACCTTATCATTCATCTCCCCTAAAACATTCCTCTTTGAACACACTTCCCAAAACGTGGTGAACGCTGTTACCAGTGCTGTCCGGCTGAAAGGCAGGCTTGGCAGAATGCCACAGTTCTCCCCTTGTCCACCTTACTCACCGCATCTGGTACCACAGAACTTCTGGCTGTTCTCCAATCAGAGTGACCATTAGAGGTAAATGCTGTAATCTACCGTGGACATTTAGGAAGCCAACTGAGCACCGCTGGAGGTGCTCACTGAAAGGGCCTCACAGAACAGCTTATAAAAATGGCAAGAATAACAGGGTTGTTGTGTTCAAAGTGTGTGTGTGTGTGTGAGTGTGCGCGCGTGTGTAGCATTTTCAGGGGAAGTAATGGCAGTGTGTCCTCCTTTTACGTAATACAGTTTTTAAAAATATTTAAAAGTATTTAAAAATATTTATTGCAACTTTTGATCATTTATTATCTTAAGTTTCTGAAGATTGTCTCTCTACTGAGGCTGAGCTTTGCTATATAGAAGCTTTTCAGTTTGATGTGATCTTGTCTAATTTTGCTTTTGTTTCCTCTCCTTTTGAGATTTCTCCCCCCAAAACTCCTCTCCATTCAGTGTTCTGCAGCATGTCTCCCGTGGCTTTTGCCTGGTCGTGCCACAGTTTCAGGTCTTACATTTAAATCTTCAGTCCATTTTGACTAATTCTTTTACGTAGTGAGATACAGGTAGCGAGTTCCATTCTTCTGCATATAGATATCCAGTTTTCTCAGCACATCTATTCAAGAAACTTCTTCAGTGTGAGTTGTTAGCACCTTTATGAAGAACAGCTAGCTGCTGATGTATCTCTTCCTTAATGCTCTTTATTCTGGTCAGTTTGTGTTTTTATGCCAGTATTTCTGTTTCTCTGCTTGTGTATCAGTTTTAGAATTGGCTTGCTGGTTTATAAAAGTCCTTTCAAGATTATAATAGGTATTACTATATATATGTGTGTTGTATATAATCCCCCCCACCCCGCCCCCAGTGGAGCTTGCCAGGCAGGCTGTGTGCCACTGAGCTACATCCCCAGCTCGTACATTAAGTAAATTATACTGGGGTGAACTGACACATCGACAGTATTAAATCTTCTAATTCATGGACATGGAATCTCTCCATTTATTCAGGTCTTCAGTTGATTTTATCATTGTTTAATAATTTTTTAATGTGTAAAACCTTACATATATTGGAGATTAGAGTTATGTGTAAGTTTTGATGATTTCTGATGCTATCATAAATGACATTTTAAAATTGTTAATGAGACACTGCTCCACTCATTGTGTCTCTGTGTGGACACTACACTTTTCAGTCTCTGCCTCCTTACTATTTACCTTCTCATTCTGCAGATTGTCCCACTGGCCCAGACATCATTCCAATTGTTGCCGGTGTGGTTGCTGGAATTGTTCTTATTGGCCTGGCATTACTGCTGATTTGGAAGCTTTTGATGATAATTCATGACAGAAGGGAATTTGCTAAATTTGAAAAGGAGAAAATGAATGCCAAATGGGACACGGTAAGTTGCAAAACATCAAAAAAGTGAGGTGATTTGTAAAATAGATATAACTCTTGTTCATTAACAGTAAGACCAATAATCTTTATTTGCATTTCCTTGATGGTTGGCAGTGCTAACTTTTTATATGCTGGCCTTTTGTATACATTGGTTTGACATTTACCTTTAGATACTACGTTCCCTAGCAGTTCATTATTTGAAGAAACTGTGCTTAGCAAAAACCAGAAAAGATCCTTAATGTAACTTGGTGAAACAAAACATGAGAATGTATGGTCCGGTTACAGTGGCCAGTACTTTAGTTCTTTTAAAAGCTTTGATCATGAAGATACTCTTTTGACTTTGATGACATAAACCAGAACCCCAAGTACCATTATCCAGGTAGCAGGATAGGCATTTGGAAGTCCACCCCTAAACCAAAAAGCCTTCAGCAAAAAGTAGCCAGATTCAAAGGCTATGTATAGTATAGTACCATTTTTAGGATATCCTGGCAAAGCTGTAGCTACAGCCATAGAATTTAGATCTGCTTGCTGGGGCCCGGAGCTGGGGAATGTGTAGGCCAGAAAAGTGGTACAAGGGCCGTCCTGGCGTGATCTTAAGCGTAGTTGTGTTTGTACATTTGAAAAGTCATCGAATTCATTTTATACTTGTGGTATAAAAAGATCTGTCATACTCAGTGAAAATCTCAACCTTGCTTAACTTTTGTAAAAAAAAAAAAAAAAGTTAACAGAAAGTTTTAAGTAGTATTTTAAATAAGGAATGCTTGCACATAGGAATCAGAGGTGGGTGGCTGAATGGTTGGTATGCATGTATTTATCTTTTGGTTCAAGAAGGTGATGACAGTCTTAAGTGTGTTTTAGCCGAGTGAAATTTAGTCCTCTGTTTTTACTACATTTTGCCTGGGTTTTTAAAAACATGAATTTTGTGTGTATCGAAATAGTAAAGATTCCCTTTATAGTGCTTTAACACTATAAATGTCACTTTTATTTCTGATCAAATCATTAGCAACTGTTTCTTTTACTTTAGCAAGAAAATCCGATTTACAAGAGTCCTATTAATAATTTCAAGAACCCAAACTATGGACGTAAAGCTGGTCTCTAAGTGGCCGTTCGTATTTCTTTCACTTTCTGCCTTTGCATGGGGGCTTTATTTTTATTTATTTGTATTCCTTCTTTAATTTTTGCACCGTGTGCTTATCACTGTTGCTGTTTTTTAAAACTCTGGCTTTATTTACATGGCTACTTGATGGCTTTTCTTTCTGTGTGTTAACTTAGCGTTTAGAAGGACTTTAAGTTGTGTGGTCTAGAGGCGACAGCTGTGCCCTCACGAAGAGACTGCTCTGCAGGCAGCGCAGGCTAGGTCGGAGCTAGGTTTTCCATAAGCCAAGGGGCACAGTCACTGCCGTGTGTGGCTGGCTCCGGCAGAGGGACTCTGTGGTGAGCTCTGATCACCACCGCAGCCCTGGGCCTGAGTGGTGTCACCCACATGAGTCCTGCACCTTAGGTGGTGCTGTCCTAATGTGTCTGTAGGTCATGATGCATATGTTTATGGTGGAACAGGAAAAACTGCACGGGAACTATAAATGGCAAAATAGAAAAGTAAATGTAATGCGGTATATCTTGGTACAGTTAAAAGATTTTGAGATTCTTTAGTTCTTGTTTGTAATTTGAAGTTTCACTGAAAGCCAGGACTGTCTGTATGTGCATTTCTTGTTAGATAATGAATACTGTAACTTTCAAATCTTAATTAAGATCGAAAGTTCCTTAAATCATGACGTCTTGATGAAGAAAAGTCTTGTACAGTTTTAAGTAAAAACCTAGTTGAAACTTTCACAGTTATAGTAAGGGTTAGTTATCCTTTTTTTTCCAGTTTGCGTAGCTTATTTTGCTATGTGCTACCTGCATGATGTTTTATCAGTAGTGGACAGAATTCCTTCTTACATAGTTTCAAATTGTTCACACCTGAGTTTGAAGCATTAGCATCCTAGTTTAGTGTAATCATGCAAGCCCCTAAAACTCTTGTTAAAAGATTATTTTCTTGAATCAGGGAGATAGCTCAGTGGTATAAGCGCCTGGCTGGCAAGTGCAAGATCCTGAATTCGATTCCCAGTACCAAAAAGAAAACAGATTACTCTTTTCCTTATGGATTCACTATAGTAAAATCTGAAGGATTCAGTTCTTCTCACTTCCTGCCTTATTGTGTAGATAATGCCAGGTCTTGTTATAATTATTGCAGTTGTAAAGTCTTAAGTTTGCACAGTGCTCTGTCTCAGGCACAGTTCTCGATATTTAGTCTCTCTAAATATCAAGTCTATTTCATGCTAATAGTGAGAAATAGGCACTGTTTTGTCACACACAAGAGAACAGGCGCAGAAAGGTTAGGTACTTTGACCACGCACACAGGACTAGTTAGTGCGAGAACTGAGGTCCAGACCCAAACAGCTGTGCTCCAGGCCCGTGTCCATGTGAGACTCTGGTCATCAGCTGACTGTCACCCTTCCTCATTCTAGAGAGTTGCAGCTCTTTGACAGTTTGTTGCAACTCGGGAGCACTGAGTGCTGTGGCATACCTTGTAGTGGGGATTTGCTCCAGTATTTAGAAGTCCGCACTGCAGTTAGGGTTACCTTTTGTATTGGGAGCGTACTTACGAAATGATACCAGCAGGGTTAGTGATGCAGCTCAGTGGGACAGCGTTCGTGGCATGCGTGAGGCTCTGGGCTGCATCCCCAGCAGTGGGGGAGCAAAGAGGACAGAAGCTGAAAGTCCAAGAGTGTGGAGTATTTCTAAAGGATTTAGGAAGTATCTGTAGTACTAGGAACCATGATCTGCTAGATCTTTATCATTTCTAAGCAAATTTTATTCAAAGTCAAAATTTTTTGGCAGAAAATTACAGTCAGATTCATCTATGGGATAGGTTGGTGCATTCATATTAATCCAAGATATGCCACTTGGTCTTTTTTTGTTGCTGGTACTGGGAATCAAACTTGGGACTTCACGCTTGTCGGGCAGCTGCCGCACCACTAAGCTATATCCCTTGCCCTTCTTATCTTGCTCACCCAATACTTCACAAAAGTCGCTTTTAAAGGAAAATCGATTAGCCAATGAAATGATAGGGACTTTTTGTTTTAATTTATGGGTCAAAACATGCAAATATTGGCCATTTACTATTGTTACTTTTCACATGAGAGAAAAATTTCTTTCTTTTTTTGGCGGAATGGGGGATTGAACTCAAGATCCTTGTGCTTGCCAGGGAAGCACTTATTCTACTGAGCCATCTTTCCACCCCTCTCCTTGTTTTATTGAGGTGAAGATTTCACCCCTGCTTTGTGTTTCATTATACTTTCAAGGAAATTAACAATAAATGATTATTGTATATGCCTATCTTTATGTAGTTAACTTTATTTTTAGCTAGTTTCTTCAGCCAAAATAAGCATATCATAGAATTCAATAAATAAATATAGGGCCGAGGATATAGCTGAGTGGCTCAAGTGGCAAGTGCACAGTCCTGAGTTCAGTTTCTGGTTCAGAAAAAACCAAGTAATAGGGATTGAATCAAGTACCTCCTACATGCTAGATGAGCACTCTAGAAAGCCTGGGTAAATTTATGGCTATAGGACCAGGGAGATAGCTCAGTGGAATAAGTGCCTCTCCGGCGAATGCAGGGTCCCGAGTTCAATCCCCAGTACCAGCCCCCCTGCCAAAAAAAATTAAGGCTGTAGGTCATAGTCAGGTGTTTTCTCAAGAAAAATTGCAGTACAACTAACAGAAATTAGTTAAGTATTTTTCTGATATGGCCAGTTAATTTACTACATTATTAACACCCACTATAATTATTCTGACAGATACAATTAACAGGTAGGCAAATATAAAAAATAAGATTATTAATTTATAAATATAAGGTAGGATGAAAAAACTAGTCTGTCTCCTCTGCTATTAGGTAAATATAAATATGAATTCCCAATCGCTCAGTTATGTACAATATACCTGATACA